ATCTGAACACCGGCTCAATATAACACGACACATGAATTGGTGCAATCACATCTTAAAAAATGGCCGAAAAAGGGTCGACGGCCTCTAAGCTCGAACAAATGAGATTGCAACCGTTCATCAAGGATGGAGATTGGTCGTCGTTACATTCAAGCCACTCTATCAAATCCATGATTCCCTAGTATCCATTTTTGCCACCACTTCACTTATAGAACTTGCAGCTTGTGAAAAATTCTCTTTTTGGAAACCTCCTAGATGAACCTTGTTACAAACCATGCAATTTCCAAAGAAGCCTTTATTTGACCTCAAAACCTTTCTCATATCCATGCATATGGACATGTTAACAAGCCCCTCTCATTCCTTTCACGTTGCTAATACAAATCCACAACACCCCAGCAAGGACCTCAAACGGTGTTGGGCTTGATTTGTCAGTTGCACCAATGGGCTGGCTGGGCCATGGCCATACAAGCCCGAACCATATCGTCCGAAAAAGCAAGCGCAATAGTTCTGTGTTTTGTGCCTACAAGGTGAAATGACCTGTTGATGGAGGTGTAGAGGTTGATCAAGGCAGCATAGGGCTTTTGGTTCGGACTTCTGTTTCCAGGCCCCCGCGATGCAACGGGTAGGAAAATATAGGATGCATCTTCTTGCTGAAGAAGGTCGTGCCAGCCCAAGCTTTGAAGAACATGGTTGCACAAGTTTGATCTGCAGGGAGATGAGTGCAACTCAGCCCAATTGCTAATCCACCATCCTCAAACTCCGTAAGCTATACAAAAGAAAAAGGGACAATATTACAAAATGTTAATATGAGAAAATGATATGTTGCTCAACGATCAATCTGAACAACGATGTACCTAGCAAGAAACCGGCCGTACTAATATTCAATTAGAGTACTACATAGTATGTCAAATTGTTTACTAAGAGCATATTTCTATGTTACAAGGAGAAAATCTTAAACGTAACCAGTTGTATACAACTACGTATCTATCTCTCATCACGTGATTAATTTATATGTTGCAAAAGATATAGACATAATTGTGTACAAACGAAGATAGTGATGCAGCAGAGTACTAACATGATTACCTGAACATAAAATGTGGACCAAAAATAAGGTTTATGGTACATTTCCTCCCAATAAACAAGCATAAACTCCCTTTCCCTATCCACATTTTTTAACCATTCCTCCAAACTCCCTCTTGCCTTACCTTCAATCATTCTCACGCCCGCATCACTGCACTTTATCATCCACTGCTCTTTGTCATTCTTCTGCAACCGGCTCGTCATTATCTGATAATTTGTGAGCACTACTGCCAGGGACTCTCTAAGCTTCGTTGTGATTTCACAAGGCTCCCTTGGCACCTCGGTTGATGGATAGTACAACACCATTCTAAGGTGGTTCTCCTCCATGTGGCGATCATGAACCAATAGAGGGTAGGTTTTTCCGTCTTGGACGGGCTTCCTGTTCACCACTGTTCGCTTGCAGATGAGTTCTATATCTCTATACGGTACAGAGGAAGGGATATAACTTAGCAATGGATTGACGCCTTGACGTGGTGAAAGTCATTAATTCAAGCTTGATTATTCCTAAACTTAATGTGAATTTTTCTTTCGAATACTTCAATAAAAACACAGGGGTAAATTATATTTTCATATCTCAGTTTGAGATATATTTCAATTCCTTACAACATCTTCAAAACTTTTCACTTTCATACCTTAAGTACTATTTTATTTCAAAATAATACATCTGTTACATTTTTCATCTATTGATCCGTTAAATGCTGACATAGCTGCCACATATATGCCACGTGGTTGCCAAATGTCTTCCACGTGGTATTTTTTTTTTAAAATTAAAAAAAAACATGAATTAAAAAAAAAAAAAAACTTGAAAACGCATAAACCCACCCCACCCCCGCAACTCCTCTTCTCCCTCCCAAGCATCCCAACCACCTCCCTCTCCTCCACTCTCTTCACCTCCCCTCCCATCCAAATACCCATCCCATCCCACCCAAAACCTGAATTTTCTCACCTAAAAAATAAAATAAAAAATAAAAAAATTGAAATACATAGCGACCCAAGGTTTGCAAGAAGAAGAAGAAGAGTGAGGAAGAAAAAAAAAAAAATTGAAACTATCCCTCCCCCTCCCAACCGACCCACATCTGCAACAAGAAGAAGAAGCGGAGAAGGAGGAGGAGGAAGAGGGAGGAAGAAAGGAAAAAAAAATAAAAAATAAAAAATAAAAAAAATTTGAAACTATCGCCCCCACCCCTCCGGGGCCAAAAAACACCAAAAAGCCCCGCACAAGGATGATTTATGGGATTTTTTTTCCTTCTTCTTCTTCTTCTTCTTCTTCTTCTTCTTCTTCTTCTTCTTCTTCTTCTTCTTCTTGTTGCAGGTTTAGGGATGTTGGGATGCTTGGGAGGTTGGGAGGGAGAAGATGGGTTGCAGGGGTGAGGTGGGTTTCTGCGTTTTCAAGTTTTTTTTTTTTTAATTAAAAAAAAAAAAAAGAATTTGCCACGTGGAAGACATTTGGCAGCCACATAACATATATGTGGCAACCACGTTAACATTTAATGGATTAATGGATGAAAAATGTAACGGAGTCATTATTTTGAAATAAAATAGTACTTAAGGTATGAAAGTGAAATGTTTTGAAGATGTTATAAGGAATTGAAATAGACCCCGAACATGAGGTATAAAAATGTAATCTCACTCTCTAATACATGAGGGTTGTTCATGCAATGATAAGTTCATCTTAATTAGAGAGTTTCTCGACAAGTGTACCAATTTTGTTTGCTTAAACAACATTATTGTTTTCGATTTCTCTTTTCACTTGCTTCCCACTTCCTAGCCTTGAATTCGTCCTCGAACATCAAATGAAATATGAATAACTCAGTCCTATCACATATGTAGTGTTCACTAAGATTTTCAGGAATTACGTAGACGTTGGTAAGTTAATGCATTAAACTTCCTAATAATATCTTAGTTGTTTAGAAGCCCAATTGTAAGTCCATTGGGCCTACAGACCCAAACCCAAAACACAGCCCAACTGAAGACCTCAAATGTCGACAGCACAAGTAACCAGAAGAAAAAACACGCGCGCATCCTGCGCGTGCTAAACAACAATCTCCATCCTCCGCATCTCACAAAATTTCTCGCATCAATCACGAATCAGATCAGAAACCCTCCCTCTCTCTACTCCCTTCCCCAAATCCTCATCCCCAATTTCACACATCAAGGATTAGGGTTTCTGAAAATGTCAGGTGCAGCAATAGCGGTGGGTTACTCGAGCTCCTGGGCACGCGCCCTCGTCCAGATCTCTCCCTACACATTCTCCGCTATCGGTATTGCCGTCGCCATCGGCGTCTCCGTCCTCGGCGCCGCCTGGTTCTCCCCCTTTCCTTATTCCCCCTTCATTTGTTGATTAAAGTTATAATCTTTGGGTTAATTAATTACTAAATTGTGTAAGTTGTTGTGGCAATTAGGGGGATTTATATTACTGGGAGCAGTTTGATCGGTGCAGCAGTCAAGGCCCCTCGTATCACTTCTAAGAATCTCATTAGGTAATGAAATTTCTGAAATTTACTCCCTTTTTTTAATTACATATTCATTTAATTTTAGCATCTGCTTTTGGTTTTGGATTCATAACGCAAACATATAGTGAATGTAAATACTAGAAATTGGGATTATGTTCATGATTTGGAGTAGCATCCCAGTAATTGAATTCAATAGCGGATTAAATTTCTTAATTGAAAATAGGTCGTATTGTTATTCGCAATCACACTTATTATAACTAGCTCGGTTAATTGATTGATTGATTGATTGATATATGGAGAATTGTGTTATCTATTTAAACACTCCCGAAAACTGTTTCTTCACACCTATGTGGGAGATTTTCTTATCTTTGACGATGCACCTTGAATTTTCAACTTTAACGTAACTCTGCTGATTATAAATTCTTAAGTGTGATTAAGATGATGATGTTTTGGGACTGACTTGGACTGGATTGGTTGTCTCAGTGTTATCTTTTTTGAATGAAAGTTCTTAATAGATAGATGGATCGTATTGCTATTGGCAATCAGACTTAAAACTAGCTTGGTTAATTGATTGATGGATGGACAATTGTGACATCTATTAAAACACTCCCGAAAACTGTTTCTTAACACCATTGTAGGAAATTTGCTTATCGATAACAATGCACCTTGAATTTTCCAACTTTAACGTAGCACTGCTGGTTGTAAATGCTCGAGTGTGACATTACAATGATGTGTTTTAGGACTGACTTGGACTGGATGCATTTTCTCTTGCAGTGTTATTTTTTGTGAAGCTGTTGCTATATATGGTGTTATTGTTGCAATTATTCTACAAACAAAGTTGGAGAATGTTCCAACATCAAAGATGCATGCACCTGAGTCTCTTAGAGCTGGATATGCAATCTTCGCCTCTGGGATAATCGTGGGCTTTGCAAACCTTGTCTGCGGGTTGATATCTTTAGCCTTCTTTCTCACATTTCTTTTAGAATTTCCAAAAAGTCCTATGGCTCTTACGATACAATGATTTTGTTTCTGCGGCAGGTTATGCGTGGGAATTATTGGAAGCAGCTGTGCATTATCCGATGCCCAAAACTCCTCACTTTTCGTGAAGATCCTTGTGATCGAAATCTTTGGCAGCGCACTTGGATTGTTTGGAGTGATTGTGGGAATCATAATGTCAGCTCAAGCTACATGGCCTTCGAAATGATGATGCGTTGCTTAGTAGAACTTGGCATCACATAACGACAGTGTTACGTGTATTATGTTCTTTTCACCATTAGGAATGTTAAAGCTGCTGTGGAAATATTATTTTTCCGTATTGTATCAATCTTAGGTTGTATTTAATCCGATGGGAATGAGTTGTGCGAGAGATGTATAAGGATGAGTTAAGCATTTCCTCAATCATGGTGGTAGACAATATTATCTTAGTTTTGAATGAATAACAGAATCATTTGTTCATATGCATTGTCGACGTCGGTTTATAAACAGCTTTGATTTGAATGCTCATTATTGTGTACAAATAGTCGGAGTTCAAACTTTTAATCTTGCTCATACAAAGATCGAACAACAATACTCAAAACAGTGATCATGCTTTATTGGCTACAGAACCGGAAAGACGATGCGTCTTGACGATTATATGGTTGAATTAAAGTAGTATGGATGGAACATCCCTGAAAAAGGGCATGAATTTCTGCTGCAGCTCTTGGCACTCCTCTGGATTAGCAATCTTGGGGTTGAAAAGCTGTCTATCAGGAAGAACAAGGCCTTGTTTAATCCGACCCATTCTCCTTGCGTGCAGGACTTGTTTGGACACGACTGGTAACCGAATCGACTGATATTCTTCGAGAGCTGATTGCAAATCTTCTGCTCCCCACTTCTTCAAGCTTTGCCCTAGCACCGCAGCATCTACTACCGACATTGTCGTGCTTCTTAGGGCATGAGGAGTTGTGGGGTGAGCTGCATCTCCAACTAGTACAACATTGTCCCTGTAGATTTGTTCTAAAGGATCACTGTCATATATGGCATTGATGAAAGGCTCTTTTGTTTCTTTGATCACTCTCACAAACTCTGGAAGCCACATTTTCTCTGCTTCTTGGTGCATACTCTGGATCATGTCGCTGCTCGCTTTCATGGTCATCGAGTTATGCTTCAGATCAGGCTCAGGTTGGTGGACATACCAAATCCAATTCAGCCTTCGGTTCAGAAGCTCGTATAGCACGGTGTGCGTCCCAGAACCTAAGCCAAAGTACAAGCATTTCCCAAGCTCAGGGTATTCCTTTCGGATGCCGGTTAAGGTTTCTGAACTCTCATTTCCAGTAAAATCAAGCACCCCTCTCCATGCGCAGTAACCCGAATACCTAACAAAACACACACAATATCATGATATCACAACACTCAAAACATGAAAATTTTCATGAAAAAGTTGACACTTGACGTAACAAACCTCAGTTTATGGTCAGGGACAAAACTGTGGCGGATCGAAGAGAGACATCCATCCGCCGCAACGAGCAAATCACCGACGATTTCGATGATTTCATTGGTCCGATGGGATGAAGCCTTCACTATAACTGAAGACTTGTCACTGGAAATGGAGAAAGATAGGAAATGGTGACCCCAAAGAAACAGGTTTGGTGGTAGTGCATTGTACAGAAGGGCATGCAGGTCAGCCCAATGTGCTGCTCTGCAGTTGAAGTCCTCGTCTCTAGTCAGCGTCCATTTCACCTTATTCTCACCATCAATTGCATCATTCTACACAACACCATAAAAAATCCACGCTCGTTAGAAAACCGAAGAAATCACAGTTTGACACGTGTGTATAATCATTTTGCATATGCGTCAGAAGTATTCGATTTCGATTTACAATCCAACGATATAGAATAGAGAACTGTTACTTGTACCTGATCAATTGTAAGCGGCAGAGTGGCCTTGTGGAGAAGGTCAGGGTCTTTAATCCATGACTGGATGAGTCTGAGAGAGAGAGGGTCAAGGCCAAGTCCAGCCCCAGTTGGGCTTCCAGTTGGGGGAGCATATGATTTCTCCACCACCAAAACATCCCACCCCGCTAATATGAGCGAGTGGGCGCATGATACCCCTGCTATGCTCCCTCCCACAATTACTAGCCTTGGGTTTTTTCTTCAGACTCATCTCTCTCCTCCTCTCAGTCGCTCTATCTCTCTCTAGAGGTCAAGAGAGTCTCTTTATTCTTCTTTTTTGGTGAATTGAAGAAAGTTGGGTAGTGAGTAGTGACTAAAAGACAATAGGACAACTACAAGATAATCACATTGGTTTCTCTAAAATACTAACAATGTTGTACGACCCAACATAATATATTTTTTTTGGCTGTCATTAAACTGTCAAAAAAATTATCAGAATACAATTGATTAATTAAATAATTTTATTTTTAATCGCTTTTTTTACTAAAAGTATTTATAGAATAATATATCTAAGTTACGTATTAATGTAACATTATTTGTCAATCAAAATTTTATAAAATTACTATTCTAATCCTCTCATTAAAGCTAAACAAAATTAAAAACACAACAACGTAATAATTACATACCACTCCTATTTTCTGTTTTTTACACGAATCTCACAGCCAAGTAAACGTAACATATCCTATTTAAAAAATAAAGGAGGTTTTTCCTTAAACCCAGGTCTCCCACTTCAAAACCACCCCTTAACCCCTTCTTCAAAGTTCCACGCTCAAATTTCTTTTTTTCAACTTTTTTTTTTTTGTTTTTTAAGAAGTGATATAAATATTTTCATAACAAATAATAAACAAATTTAAATTACACACGTATAACGTCTGCGCATATGACTAGTATAATTAACGGTTTGAATAAGTCAGCCAATGTTTTGCGAAAATCATTTCGTATATTTGAGGAGCCAAGCATTCATCGTCTAATTAACCACATTTCTTATTAATGGGCCTACATCTAAAGGTTTTACCACTTGTGATGTGACCCAAACTATCAAACTATTACCTCCATGACCCGACCCGGACCACATACCACTCCCACAAAAACCCAAAGATGCGATGTCCGTACAATATTCCAAACCGTCCCCTTTCCTCTCTCTTCCCCGTCTCTCTCTCTGCTCGTCTTCTCTGTCAAGCAAAACTCTCCGTGGAGAAATGGGGGCTGGGCGCGAGGTCCAAAGCTCGCTGGACGGACTGCGGGACAAGAACGTGATGCAGCTGAAGAAACTCAACACTGCCCTCTTCCCAGTCCGCTACAACGACAAGTACTACGCCGATGCCCTCGCTTCTGGCGATTTCACCAAGCTAGGTTGAGCTTCGATTCTCAGTCTTTATTATTTTTGAATTATATTTTCTGGGTTTTGTTTAATTTTGCATAATATTTCTGGGTGTTGTTTATTTTTGCTTAATATTTTCTGGGTTTTGCTTAATTATGCATATTGTTTTGTGGGGTTTGCTTATTTTGTGTTACAAATGTAGGTTCTTTATTCAAATGCCCTGAAATCTCATCTGGCTATTGGTTATTTTGTGAAAGATTTGATGGGATATAGTAATTTGAGCTTGTAATTATGTTCTACTTCTAATTGCTGTTCTGTGAATATTTTGTGGTTTGTTCGTTCTGGGTATTTCGTAATCTTCGTTGTTGTTTGTTTGCTTCTGGTTATCCGAAAATGGAACTTGTTTATGGCTTTCGCTGAGAAATATTGGATGTTAGCTCTTTGCATTTTGAAATGCCGATTTCACTCACTCAGATAGACTTTTGAAGAGTGTTGATAACACAAATCTACTAGCTTACTCTCTATTTTTCTAATAGCTTACTCAGGGGTTTGGAACCTTCAAGTAAATTGGGGATGGAAAGTTATTATTATGTCAGGGATCTGGGTAGTTTTAGTTATGGTAGTAATGCTTGGTTCAATAGTTATGTGTCTTAAGTCAATTGTTTCTGTTTGTTGGTGTTCTAAAAAAACCGTGAGGAACTACATATTTTTGAAGATAAATGACGAGGTTCTGGTGCAGCATTAGTGAGGTAGTTGAGTGATCAGCTATCCCCTGAATCTGTATCAGTTCCTCAATAACAAAAGGGTAGTGCTATTCACACACCCCTTTTTACCTCCCACATATCCTTGTTAATTTTTGTCCATTGATCTTCTTCAATTCGTATGATCAAACGGCTGGAAATTGAGTGGGGTGTGTGAGAGGTAAAAATGGGCGTGTGGATAGCACCACTCGAACAAAATTAGATGTCTTCTTTGATGAGTTATGTTTATTTTTATAACCTACTTCCCCGGTAAAATTTTGTAGTGCTATTTATTTTTATAACCTACTTCCCCAATAAAATTTTGAAGTGTTAGTTCTTTTAATATGTCGGCATGATTTTGGGAGGACTGATGTTGTATGTCTTATTAGACGTGCAAAGAGGGTCATTAAGAATGAAGAAGTTGGTCGGACATTAGCTTGAGCATTTTCAAAGGTATCCTGTTATGAATTGGATGTGCCGTATGCTATTGTGTGAGGACCAATGTGAGACTATTGTTTAAGTTTAACAAGCTTATTCACCGAGCAATGATAGTCCACTTCTTACAGTATCTAGTTGAAGGTGCATATATGGTCTAGAAAGCTAGATCGATAATTATACCTGGTACATGTAAACAAAATTGCAAACCTTTCCTGTGTAGGTATACCCTTAGCACTCGTGTCTATGTTGAAGTTGACTACATGCCAAATTGACAAACATTATGAAAGGAAAGTTTAATTCCTGCTATTATTTTTGTACAGCATATTTCAGTGATATATGTGTTGGTGCAATTGCATGCCGGCTTGAGAAAAAGGAAAATGGAGCTGTCCGCGTGTACATAATGACATTGGGAGTTTTAGCACCATACCGTGGGCTAGGCATTGGTAAGCAAGCACTGTTCTTCGTATTATAAATTTGGTATGGCAAGGGGGTAGTCTGTTTGAGAAACCACCAAGTCATGCTTATTGGTTACGACCGTGGTCGAAATACATGAACCATGCTTTGGTCAAGTTTACCTTCTGGATACGACCATGCATTGGTCGAGTTTACCTTCTGGATACAACTTGTTGTATATACAGTGAATTGTTATTTAAATGTCTAATAGAATTAAGATTAAGGTGTCAAGAAAAGTCCTCATACTTTTTGGTGGTACTGTCTTACGGCAAAATATTTGCTTAATCTGGATATTAACAACCGCATAGTTTTCTTATCAAAGTTGTGGGATTTTTGCAGGTAAAAAACTGTTGAACCATTCTCTTGATCTGTGCGCCAAGCAAAATATTTCAGAAATATACTTGCATGTTCAGACAAACAATGAGGACGCCATAAACTTCTACAAGAAATTTGGGTTCGAAATCACGGAAACCATCCAGAATTATTACACGAACATCACCCCTCCAGACTGCTACGTTCTTACCAAGTATATCACTCAGACAAAGAAATAAATGTCAAAGCTATCAAATGGGGAAGTTGTTGCATTAAATTTTGATCTTTGTTATTTCTAAATTATGCTAGATGATGTCTGGTTGTTAGAGTTATGAATTTGCTAAAATTTGTTCGGAAGCTAAGTTATGTGACTGTTCATCTGCTGTATTTCTGGAGAAATGACTGTCGTTTGTTGATCGGATTAGCTTATGATCATTTGAAAGTTTTCTAATTTATCAGGACCAAGGGTTTTCGGCACTTCAGCAAAAATGAGGAGAAATGGTGGAATTTTGGAAAAGTGGACAATTTAGTAAAATAAATTTGAAACTTTAGAGATTATTCTTGTAATCGAGGAAAACTCATGTGACTTGGGTGAAAACACGACAAACCTTTAAAGAGTGTAACAAAAAGGTAAAATAAAAGTGTAGTGCTATTCACACTTATTTTTACCTTCCACATATTTTTGTTAATATTTGTCTGTTAATGTTCTTCAATTCATTCGATATGACGGTTGAAAATTAAGAGAAGTGTGCGAGAAGTAAAAATGAGTGTGGATAACACCATCGAAATAAAACAAACCAAGACATTTGTCACACCTTTCACAAATTAGCTTTTGGTCTATTGTTTTGTTTGTGGTTAAGAGCATTTTCACTTACAGCTGAGACGTGAAGTTTGAATCCTCCCACCCTCTCAAAACCTAAACCTAAAATTCTCAGTGAACTCGTCCCAACATCACACTAAATGCTCCTTTAAATCATTTAACCATATATGCTTACTACATTCTTTTTTTTCTTGGCTAAAAAACCATCATATATTATTATTTTGACATATTTTTCTTATGAGTTCTTTCATATAATATTCAGAACATCTCACTACGTACCTAATACCTTGGAAAGAGATCATTTCTGGGTCTCTTCCTCCAAAGTTCACAGATCAAGTGATCCGGACCCTTAGCCAAAAACAGAGAAGTTAGTAAAAACTTTTAAAAATTATAATAATTTTTTATCGTTGAATCAAATTTTAAGAGTTCGGATCATTTGATCAGTGAGTTTTGGAGAAAGAGATCCGGAAAGGATTTCTTTCCTAATTCCTTGACTAGCTAATCATGAAATGTGGGCGCATTAACTAATCCAATTTGTTGCTTTGAGATTACTTTATTTATTTTTTTTTTATGCACCTAGCATCGCCCATTCCTACCAATCAATTGGACCATGCACCCTCTTTAATTAATTAGCTGTGTGTTGAATTTTAAGTTCCCTTTGTTATATATGGTAAAAGTTCTGGCTGTCCCTCCCACCCTAAACCTTAAATACTCAACTAGCCCAACAAATCTGAATAATTTTTCATAAACACATTTATGTGGCGAGAAATGCTGGAAAGATTATATATTTAAACTATATTTTGTAAACGTTGATCTAGAGTTTAAATTTTAAACTAGAAAAAAATGATGTCAATCAATATTTTTTACTTTAGGTCAAGTGATGAGTATATTTTAGCACGTGATATTATATCGATATTAGTTGAAGGGAAAACTTCGTAAGCGATGAGTAATGTTTGGCATGTCCCTTGCTCCGTAGCCACAACCCCATGCTAGGTGTAAATCATCGCCATACTGTGAACTAGTCTGCGTGTGAAAGAGTGTAAGTGCTGCACTATATATAAGTACATAACAAATACTCATTTGGGACACAAGAAACAACTGCTCTCTAGAATTCTCTCTCTCCCCCCTCTGATCATGTACCTATGCTTCCTTTCATTCTTCATTTCTGCAGAATATGTGAGTATATTATCACTCGCCATGGATCGATCCTGAGTTGACTACTCCCGCTATCCTCTTGTTCTACTTGCAATCATGTCTAATTCCTCAAATATCTCTCTTGATTCTGATTTCTGTGTTCTTCTTCAAGACCAGTGAAAAGGAAGTCCATGAACCAACAAAACATTAGTTCATGGTGAATAACACTCTTTTCATTTGCCATCAGTTTCATGATTCTTTATTTATTTTTACTTGTTTTGAAGGGAAAACACGGAGGAAAAATTGGAACGAGTCTGGTAGGACACTACGTTGAGCCTTATTCAAATTCAGCACAAGACAGAGTTCTACAACTCCAGTTTGGTTGGTTAATTAGTGAGAAGTCTTAGATATATTTTTCGTGTTATATAACCGGAAGAAGTATCGCTTATGTTGTACTTGGGCGTCACTCTTGTATAGAATAACATGTTAATGATGTTGTATTGTTTCTCATCAGGTGCATGGAACCGTTAGTATATGGGGAGTCGCCAAAGAGTATGAAAGACTTAGCCAAGGAAAGGCTGCCGACTTTCACCGAGGAAGAGAAGAAGCTGATAAGGTCGGGTCCTTCGATTTTATTGGCATCAACTACTATGCTGCAAAGTACATGGAAAGGATGCCAGTTAAATCTTGCGGTATGGTAGTTGATGCCAATAAAATCGAAAAACCCCTTTATCAGCTTCTTCTCTTCCTCGATGAAAGTCGGGAGCCCTTCCTTGGCTAAGTCTCTCATACTCTTCGGCTACTCCCCATATACTAACGGTTCCATGTACCTGATAAGTAACTGTACAACATAAAAACATGGAGAAAACGTTTCGTTGATTTCTAAAGAAAGCAGTCTGCAAGATTCAATACGTGACAGACACAAAACTATTGTTGAGACTCTTGAGCATTCACCAATAGTGTATATACATATATGTACTGTTGTGTTTCCACTTGTTACAGAATATGAAATGAAATTTGTGTACGCCGGTGATTATCTTTCGCTCATTGGATTTGACAAAGAAATTCAAACGGGTGATGAAACGTCGTTATTAATCATATGATCTAACGGTGTTCTCATATTTGTAGCTCTAGAAAATGATTGTTGCCAAAGACACTAGAAGATGATTGCACTTACAACTTTACGAAAATCAATTGACAAGGACGAGCAACAACTCAAAGATGATTGTGTAAACTCTTTCATTTTGAATTTTTGGTTGCGTAAAATCAATTTAACAAATCCTAATTACTTTTAAACCATTTTCTAGTTTCCATTGCTCGAGATAACTCGAGCCTTCTCAAGAACAACTCGAGCTCATCTCAAATGATTGTTGAGTTATCTCTTTTGTCTCGAGTGTTATATTTGCTTGATGTTGTACTCGATGGATGTCGAGATGGCCTAGAGTTGTTCGCAAAGGGGCTTGAGTGGTTATTCTCGAGGGATAGTCTAGGGTAATGGGAACCAAACAATGAAGTTGAATGCAATTGGGGTGGTTAAGGCCTTAATCTTTTACATCTGTTAGATCACTCCAAATACTAAAAGTGATTTTCACTTATCATCAACTTTAAAATCCATAAGTCAAATCCTTTTAGCCAAGTTAAACTCTAAGTTTCCTTGGCTAAAGGGGTCAAGTTAAGGATTTAAAGCTTCGCAAATGACTTACCAAACTCAATGGCCTCATCCAACCAACTAATTTAATACCCTGCTTAATTACAAGAATGTGCTACCAGATGTAGCCATAGACGAATTAAGAGTTAAACTGTCGCATCCCGGCCCAGACCCCCATCACATCATGGGCTTGACTTCACCGTAACACAATATTGTCCACTTTGGGCCCCTACCATACCCTCACGATTTTGTTCTTGTGTGAGTTCCCAGAAACAAAACCATGAGGGTATGATAGGGGCCCAAAGCAGATAATATCATGCTACGGTGGAGTCAAGCCCGGGATGTGACATAAACCCACTTCAATATTTGGGCATGTAATACCTAAAATTAGTGACTTAACATATGTCTAATTTTAACTATTTTTAAAAATTGAGACCAATTTAGAATCACCTTCTAATGTTGTACTTTACATAAAATAGAAAGAAAAAAAAATAACTAATGAAATCAAAACAAAATTCAATTAAAAGGAATGGATGAGCGAGGGTAAGAGTGATTTTCTGTCGGATTAGATCGGAAGCAACTATTCCAGTGCCAATTAAAAAAAAGTTTTGGAATGAAATATTAGTTTCAATTTCGAAATATTGGATTATTGGAATTTATCTAAAATTTCAGAATCGGTTTTATCTCAAAATTTTTGTGAACATACTTTGGATCTCGTACATTTTGCAAGACTTTGAAAACTTTTATGTTTTTACCATTCAATATTTTATTGGAATTTTGCGAAATTTGCAGGATCTTACATGAGTGTATAACACAAAATTATGAGTAATGTTAGGAATGTCAAAATTTTAAACTAAATTTGTTATGTGTCATTAATAGAAAATAAACACATTAATCAATGCTTAAGTAATATGATCATCAACAACAGATTTGAATCCTCGTCGGATCTCCTCCCTTGGGATCCTAGGGATTAACGAACACGGACCGTTGATAAAAAATCATGCGGCCACAATTTTTTCCTTTTTTATATTTTTCACACAAAACGATGGTGCTTTACTTTTAAAAATATAAAAAGCATTTAATTGGGACCGCACTATTTTTTATCAACGGTCCAGTTTCGTTGATCCCTAGGATCCCCATAGAGGGGATCCGACGAGGATCCAAATCCATCAACAATTACATCATTTAGTTTAAAATTTAATTTCCTTAGCATCATTCTAAAATTATGTTAGACAACATTTTAAATATAAATAGTATGATATATACAAAATACGAAAAAAATCAAATCTAAATATGAGAAGAATATGATAAAACAAGTTTAATAAAATTCCAATCGGACGGGTACATCCAAAACCTTCGAAATTGTTCACTCGAGAAAAAAATTTCGATTCGAACTATTTGTAATCCAAGTTTTTCCCTAGCCACGTGTGGGTCCCGCCGATGTTTGTGACTAGGGACCCGGTGACTGCCATCCGGAAAACCGTTACCTTCCTTCCGTCAAAATGAGACACGCTCCTCCTCCTTCCCTCCAATTCCTCGCCGCTGCCGCCACCAACTCCGCCGTCACCATCATGTCTTCGCGCCCTCCTGTACTCTCTCTCTCTCTCTCTCTCTCTCTCTCTTCAATTTCAAAAATGGTTCTGAAACTTTCAACTAACCAGTGCTCTCTCTTTCACAGTACCGAGGTGGTCGAAACCCATGGCAGAGAGGCTTCTCCAACCGCCCCTACTCAGGCGGCGGTAGGAACAACTACGTCACCGGAGACTCCCACTTCCGCTCAGTCCGCGACGCCAATCTAGGGTCCCGGCAAGGCGATTCCGGACCCTTCCCCAACCAAACCTCCTATCGTCGGACTCCGCCGCCGTCTTTCGATGTCAACCACTTCCGCGGTCCTCCGCAGCTCGATCACAATCAACCGTACCGGCCGAATCAGCACTTTCGGCCTCCCCATCAGTTTCGCCCCCCTCAGCAGTTTCGGCCGCCGCAGCAATTCCGGCCTCGGCCGAAACCCTTGGACTATCGGAACTGGGAATTTTCCAAAACAACACCGTCCCCTACTTGTGGTAATCGACCATAATCACAAATTAATCGGAGGTTATTTGGTTTAAGCTTAGTTTTTGAATTTATGGTTTTCGTGTTGGCAGAGAGGTTTACTGTGTTGTCATATAATATACTAGCTGATTACTTGGCTAACGATCACCGGAGTAAGCTATACTATCACATACCTCATCATATGATGGACTGGCTGTGGAGAAAGCGAAATTTGATATTCGAGCTCGGGCTGTGGTCACCCGACATAATGTGCCTTCAGGTGTTGGTTTTTATGCGCAGCGTTCGACAACATTCCGTTAATTTTGTTTAGTTCAGTGAGAATATCGAATGTTGGGGCGGTTGTGTTTGAAACATCTTTAATTTGTGCTTTGCTTTTTGATGCACTTGACTGACGTTTTGATTGCAGGAAGTTGATAAATTTGAGGACCTTGAGGAGGAGTTGAAGCTTAAAGGGTACATCGGCATTTGGAAGGTGTGCTTAAAAATGCTTATGTTGCTGCTTTGCTAACGCAAGGACATCCATATCATATGTTAAGATTTCCCTCTTTACATGTTTTTGTATTATATAGAGGCTCGACACCTTTTTGAGCATCAATAGAAAATATTTTTAGTGCAGTGGACTAGATAGATTAGAAACAAAGATTTTTGAACAAGAACTGTCCAGAAAAAGTGAGGGTTTTACGGAGATTGGTAGATGGATAACATCCATATAGGTGGTTTATATTGTGCAAGAAATACCATTAACAGTTATTACTTCAAATTGGCTCATAAAAATAACTATAAGAGGATGCATGTTGCCCTTAATTCTACCAAATAAGAGAGGGTGCATGATATTAGGAGAAGGATGCCATTTTTCGTGTTGTCCTTGCATGCAGATAAGTTTTCTAGTAGTAAAGGCCAGGAAAAGAGATTAATTGGGCTAACTTTCAGCAACTCAAAAAGTTCTCTGTTTGATAAAGTCAGTTCATCAAGTTGTTTATTTGCCAAAAAAAAAAATAGTTGTTCATGGATGGTGGAACTGTAACAATGTTTTGGTTTGTACAGATGAGGACTGGCAATCCAGTTGATGGATGTGCAATTTTTTGGAGATCGTCAAGGTAGAATATGTCTAGTTTTTACTTTTTAGATATCCCCTTGATGTATGAACACTGAGCAGTCATTCATCCAATTTACTATGCTGCTTATGCTCCGGGAGAAGTTTATTTACTTACTATGAATCATCAGTATAGGTCAATATGCGCCTGTACTAGCTAAAAATAAAAAGTAGTTCGCACTGATATTTCTATCCTTATCTTATCCTATTCTTTGATTTAAGCCTTTTTTGCACCGCTTTAAGTATTTTGTTTGGGATTTCTTTGTTACTACTTTGTTTTAACATGTATTCATCTTTTCAGACTTAACCTGCTGGTATCTTATGTGCTGAGCAAATTGATTTGGTACTGATGTCTACCTTAATTGCCTTTATAGATTCAAGTTGGTCCATGAGGAATCCATCGAGTTCAATAAGCTTGGACTTCGGGATAATGTTGCTCAAATATGCGTGCTGGAGGTACTCGGAATATTTATATCTTGAAACTTCCATGTAATAACCAGTACTATTTCTGATTGTTCAAAATCGGTTTGTCATTTTTTCTTTTGTTTGATATGCTTTCATACAAATATTATTAGTTTCTTTGTTAACAGTCAATACGTCAGAATAGCACCAAAAATATTGCAGCTCTACCAACAAGGTAAATTAGAATCTTTAAAGAACTTACCTTCATTCATGATATACACTCACGCACGCACACACCCCACACGCATGCTGTCATTAGGATGCCTCATACAGGTTTGATTAATATTTGGATGAACCTACTAGCTTTAACAGTAGAAGACAGTTCTGTCTTTTCTATTAAGATTTTATAACTGAATTGCTTTCATATCTGTAGCTCAACAGGTACTAATAAAGTTGTCATTTGTAACATTCATGTGCTTTACAACCCTAGACGGGGAGAAATTAAGCTTGGCCAGGTAGTGGACCATTGTAGTCTCTCTCTCTTTTTCTCTCTCTCTGTATATACATCGACCAGCGATAAAAAGTGTTTGGCCGATATATGGAACTAACTGCTTGAGTGGTGTGGAATCCATCACAAACTTTAACTTCTGTGATGCTCAAGTTTTCATTCAACCAGAAACTTCAAATCACATTTTCCTGTATCTTTCCTTTGAACAGGTCAGGGTTCTTTTGGATAGGGCTCATGCTGTTTCCAAAATCTGGAATGATGCTCCAATTGTTCTTTGTGGGGATTTCAATTGTACACCTAAGGTTTGCGTATACCACTTGAAGGATATTTATTGCAGCATTGGAGTTCTCTTTTTTGTTTTAATGTGGCCGTAACACTTATTTATTTATTTATTTATTTTTGTCAGAGTCCGTTATACAACTTTATTTCAGAACAGAAGGTAAGCTCATTTCTTCTCAATTTTGGACCTCCTTGCAGTTGTAAATTACAAATATATCTTGCATCATACTTTGCAGTTAGATTTGTCTGGAGTTGACAGAGATAAGGTATCTGGACAAGCGTCAGCTCAAATTTATGCACCAAGGTCATATGATCGTAATTATGGGTAAGGTTTGTAGGAGGTGACTAGTGGGGACAATTATATTTGAGAGTACCGCGTGTATTTTGATTTGAAAACGTGACAAAATATTGTAGGGCTGGGCCTGCTAGTCATATAGTTCAAGGTCCACCAATTGTAGATGGGAGGGAAGCTGGATTGAACTCGGGCAATCTGTCATTGGATATCCAGAACCCAAATAATCCAGAAAGTAGTGCAGAGAGTGTTCCATTAGCGAACAACTTGTCTCAGCCTCAAAGTACTGACACTCCAGACGTTTTTGATAAGTCTTGCCCCAATGTGCATTTTGGAAAAGATGACGGTTCCAAAGATGTTGATGTGAACCAAGAAACTAAGCAGAACTCTTTAGATGTCTCTGAGGTTGAAACTGGATCAGCATTCCATGTGACTGAGATGGGATACGAAGAAAAAGTGGATTTCACCTCTAATTCAAATCATGGATTATCGAGCGGACATTTGAATTCAGATGTTTGCCTAGAGAAAGAAAGGTTGAACTGTGATATCCATAAACATCCCTCTACGAGGGACAATGATTCTATTAGGGAAGGGACTGATCCAGATTCTGTGGTTCCTATCGACTCAGAAGTTCCTTTGTCTAAGCTATCTAACCAGGCTTCCATTACTGATGATACCAAAGTCTCTTCATTGGAAAACTTAGGGCATATGTCTTCTGATCCAGTTTCTGGTGTCGAGGGGGAAAGCCCTTCAGACTCATATCAAGTGGACATATCATGTCCATCTGCTAGTGCTGACCTTGAATTGCAGAAAAATATGGAAAGTTTATCTCTTAATGTGCTAGATGAAGCCATTCCGGCAGATGAAAATACAGCTGAAGATGATAAAACGTTTATATCTGCATTACACGATACGGAAGATGCCTTTCTATCTGATTTTACTTCAGTTACTCCCAACTCAGCATTTTTGGCATCACCCAATGCGGAGAGAACCTATTATGATCCATCACTATGGACTCCGATGGAAATAGAAACTGCCACAGGCAATGCGGAACACACTCTTTTAGAACATCCTCTGAAGCTTAAGAGCACATATACTGAAGTTGAGGTAGTCATATTGTCTAATATCCTTATTGAACGTTATTTAGAGCATTGCTGTTTGATCTGCAAATTGGCCATTTACTCTTTTTAGTTTCATCTTTGCAGGATTGTTCTGGCACCAGAGATTCAAGTGGGGAGCCACAGGTGACCAGTTATAATAAATTATTCTTGGGCACGGTTGATTACATCTGGTAAATTTTCTATGGTTCTGATTTTCCATGTGCATTTCCTGTCATCCTATTCTTCTTATCAGATTTTGAGTCGAGAACTCGTTTAGTAATTACATACCTGTTTTAATAAAGTTCGTGTACCACTCTCTTGTCTGACAATTTACTTTCTTATTCTGAGCCCGCGGAATAGGTTGAGACCTATTGTTGCTTCTTATAATTTTCTTTTTTTAATACCAGGCGTTCCGAAGGTCTGCAGACTGTCAAGGTGCTTGCTCCTATTCCAAAGCAAGCTATGCAGTGGACTTCAGGGTTCCCAACCAAGGTACGGGTTTTCCACCGAACATTATACAGAGAACGATATCTATTTACTAGTTTAGGGAAAGCAAAAGGGAATGAATTAAAATTACGATTATAAGAGTAGACTTTTCAACTGAAGCAATATATAATAAACGACATGGATTAATCCTGGTTGAATGAAAGAACTGGAGAGACATATTTCTGAGGTATAATTTTTCGGGACGGTTTTGCAGAAATGGGGTAGTGATCATATTGCATTGGCTTCTGAGTTGTCATTCATCAACAATTCTGACCAATCATCATAAGAGCAACATGGAAGTCCGCCGCAGTATAGCCCTCGACATCAGGGGATTGCAATCGGAGAAATTGCGGGAATGGCTGTCAAACTCGTTGAGCTTCTAGTCACTGGTTCTGCAGCAACCTCCTGTATATACTTTTGATCTGCATGGTACTCAATTCTACAGTTGCTATCTAGGAAATTAGAATTGAACCGTCCGGCACTCGTCACTCGTCACCTGTATCAACGGTTCGGATGAAAGAAGGGTGAAATTTGGTGCCAATTGTTTTCAAATTCACCTCACCTCACCGGCTCACCCTAAAAATTGGTTATGCCCGTCACATTAGACACGAGGAAGAAAATAATTTTTACCGTTTATTTGAAAATTCTTAACTCCGCCCTTAATGGTTGTTATTTTTTATTCTAAGTTCATTTGTAAAAGTTTGAAAGTAGGGCAATTAGCTAAATAATTCACTTTGACATTTGGTTGCTGAGATTAACGAATTCAAATATTGACGAGATATTGATGACATATTGTTCATATATCAACGACACAACGATGATATAACGGCAACATGCTAAAAACGGATCATTTAAGCAACCATATTTCAAGAGTGGATCATGGGCAAAAAAGCCTTGAAAGTATTCGTACTTTGAACATGTTCATATTTTCCTTCGAATACGTTCTTGCTTTTTAGAAAGTGACTTGCATGTAACGGATGAGGTTCTAAGGTTCTAAATTAATAACTCATGATATTGTATTATCAAATCAAAACGTTATGCTACTAGTCTACCGTCAACATGTGGTAAAAAAACAGGGTGGTCGTTGTATATCGTAAAAAGTACAACAATCGTTCGATGACAGAGACTTTTACCAGTTCACCATGAAGTGATAACCAGGGTTTGGTTTTGTTCTTCTTTTTCTTCGCCAAATTCGGGTTTTGCTTCGATCTACCATACAACAAGGAATTTGGTTAAAAACACGAAAAAAATCCAAGAAAAAGTGAGGGATTTTGATCAAAATTTAGTAACAATCCATACTCAAAAGTCAAAACACCTAAAATCTCTCTTACCTATATATTGTACTTTAGAATATAAATATAAGCAAAATGATGGGACTAAAGTACGAGATCAAGTAATGTTATCAATTTATTTATGTATTAATGTGTATTTATATTTTAACCAAATAATGATTCAATTTAGCCCGACAATTATAGCACATGTATTTATTTATTTAATATTATAATTTGTATCCTTAAACATATCAGTTGTGTCAGACTTGTAATATATTATATTCAAGAGAACCATAGAAATGTTATTACAAAAATATGAATTGGTAACAACACGTTACGGTGTGACAAACATGTTCGAAAACTTATCAATGATATATTAGTATACGTCAGTGTATTGGTGTATATAGTCGTACCATGCACCAAGATCTTTTATCAATAAACTTAATTCATTAAATCTTTGACCTTAATCACGCTCGAACGCATATGATATCGTCATGTGACATTTCTTGTGAGCAGGACTAGTTCTTGGCAAATGTTAACAGGTCAAGCCGTCGAAGTTGTTTGCACTTGGTAACCTATTTCTGTTTGGTAACCTATCCTATTTGTATTTGGTAAGCTATCTCGTGAACACATAGTCTGTTTGTTTAAAGTCTCACTCTACTTCTTTATTTATATATTTACGAGTACATAGGCACACATAAAGTATGTGAGAAAATTTTTTATTTTTGTTTTTGAAATAGAAGGAGAGAGGAAGAGAATGATAGAGAAAGTGGGAGAGAGAAGTTTTTTCTTATTTTTTTTAATTTTTTATTATTATTTTAATTGGAGATATGTTAGGATGTAGATGAGGTTTTGAAAAAAACAGCAAAATTTTGTTATGTGAAATTACATTTCTACCCCATATTTCTTATTCATGTTATGTTAGAGAGTTAAACTGGTAATTTCATAGGATTTTGGTTGACAATGAGTGTTTTATTAATTAGTAGAGATTTATTTATTATTATTATTTAATTTTATTTAAAAATTTAAGCTTGCAAGAAACATTTAACTGTGATTCTGAATCATAATATTTTAGTTGCAAACCAACGAGTCAACCCAAACACAAGACACGCAACAGCATTTGAAAATCATTTTCTTTGTCCCGACTCTGCCTCCTCGCTCATAAACTCACGTGACTCGAAAAGCAGAAGAAACCATTTGGTTTTCTCAGGCAAAAATCCAACATTTCTCATCAGATTTGCAATTTCAGGTCAGTTTTCTCAGAATTCAATTTTCTCATCTGGGTCGCATGCAATGCTTTCAATCTATTCGTTTGTAGCTTCATCTTTTGTATAAATTGTAAAAAAATGCCTGCTTTTTGTACAGAATCATAAAAAAGGTACGTGCTTTCTGGTTATTTTGCAGGGGTTTTTAGGTCCTTTGAGCTGCAGTTGCTGTTTTCTGTCGTTAAATTTCTTGTAAGATTGATAATCCAGAGAAAATCTAATTCCTGAAACCCCCAAATATACCAGAATGTCCCTAGGAAAATCCAGTCCCTAGAATCTTTGATTCCTCTACCCGAAATCGCATTCTGTAACCCGAAATGTTGTTTGAATTCGGTTTTGAGGAAAGAGGATTCATACTTCTTTGACACTACTGTTCTATTGAGATCAGGGGTCAGGTATCTCTTCGAATTTTCGGAAAAATGTCACCTTCCAATCTAAACACACCTTTAATCCCTTCATCATCGGTGTCCTCGGCCTCATTGAAGCTTCCCGATTTCAAACAGTCCGTGAAATTGAAGTATGTAAAGCTCGGATACCACTACCTTATCACCCATGGAATGTACCTGTTTTTATCCCCTCTTTTTGTTCTCACCGTGGCACAGCTGTCTACATTCTCACTCCAAGACCTCCATGACCTTTGGGATCACCTCAGGTTCAATCTCATATCCGTTGTCCTTTGCTCGACTCTTTTGGTCTTCTTATTGACCCTCTATTTCTTTTCTCGTCCATGGCCTGTTTACCTTGTTGATTTCTCGTGCTATAAGCCGGAGGATGCGCGCAAAGTCACGAGGCAGATATTCATGAACTGTTCCCATTCGATAGGAACATTCACTGAGGAAAACCTCGCGTTTCAACGCAAAATTCTTGAGAGGTCGGGTCTTGGGGAGTCAACCTACCTCCCTGAAGCTGTTATACGGGTGCCTCCCAATCCATGTATGGCAGAGGCGAGAAAAGAAGCTGAGATGGTAATGTTTGGTGCCCTTGATCAGCTATTTGAAAAAACTTACATTAAACCGAAAGATATTGGTATTTTGATTGTGAATTGTAGCTTGTTTAATCCAACACCGTCTTTGTCAGCTATGATTATCAATCATTACAGGCTGCGAGGGAATATTATTAGTTATAACCTTGGTGGGATGGGATGTAGTGCCGGTTTGATCTCAATTGATCTTGCTAAAGATCTTCTTCGAGTCCACCCGAATACCTATGCTTTGGTCATTAGCATGGAAAACATCACATTGAATTGGTATTTCGGGAATGATAGATCGATGCTTGTCTCAAACTGCTTGTTTAGAATGGGAGGAGCTGCAATTTTGCTTTCAAACAAATGGTCAGACAGACGTCGATCCAAGTATCAGTTGGTGCACACTGTTCGGACCCACAAAGGTTCGGATGACAAGTGCTTCTCTTGTGTTACCCAACAAGAGGATTTCGCCGGGAAAATTGGAGTTTCTTTGTCAAAGGATCTCATGGCGGTTGCTGGGGATGCTTTGAAGACCAACATCACTACCTTGGGTCCTCTTGTGTTACCTATGTCCGAACAGTTGCTCTTCTTTGCCACGCTTGTTGGGAGAAAACTTTTGAAGATGAAAGTGAAGCCTTACATCCCGGATTTCAAGTTGGCTTTTGAGCATTTCTGCATTCATGCCGGAGGAAGAGCCTGTGCTAGATGAATTGGAGAAAAACTTGCAGCTTTCGGACCACCACATGGAGCCTTCGAGAATGACACTTCACAGATTTGGCAACACTTCAAGTAGCTCTCTTTGGTACGAACTTGCTTATACAGAAGCCAAGGGTAGGATGAAGAAAGGAGACCGAACTTGGCAGATAGCATTCGGGTCCGGGTTCAAGTGCAACAGTGCAGTTTGGAAGGCTTTGAGAACTGTGAATCCAGCAAAGGAGAAGAATCCATGGATGGATGAGATCCACCAGTTCCCGGTGGATGTTCCAAAGGTCTCAGCTATCTGATTCCCGTCGACTTTTCCCTGTTCCTCAAGAATCTGTTAGGGTAGTTGGTTTTCTTGTTCCAAATCGTTTTCTATGTATTTCATCATGTTTTCTCAAGTATGGTTTTTTTGTAGTGAAGGGTTTGGCTTTAGTTATGAGACGGATGCCGTTAGACTGGTGATTTACAGTGGGATCTTTGACTTAATTAATGTGCTTGTGTCCTTAATTAATGGAGATTTGGGTTTGTAATCGTTTTAAGTAATTGACAAAATTACCATCAAAATATCTCTTTTTGAATTCATTTTTTTGAAGCAGACGAGTTCAACAAAAGCTATACAAAATCGACATCTCTCCGGTAAACTCTATCACTTGATCCTCATCCAATACCACAAAAGGAAAACGCGTATGATTTTAGCGAAATGACACAAATGTAAAGTTGGTTATTTTTTCTGAAAATAATAAAAGCCTCATTAACTCTCCCTCCTTCCAATCGTCTTATAAATTTGAGCTCCAAGCCATATATACATGATTTAACTCTTTGTTTGATTCAGTACAACAATATTGACCTAAAACATAGCTAAAAAAACACTAATGAGGGAGATATACGCAAAACAGTCAATGGTATAGATCTGCTCGATGAAATGCCTCATAAAAAACATTAGGAAAAAAGTTAAGTTGAAGCCGGTTTACAAAAGCTCAGAACCTCAACCTAAGGACACTGGCTATTACAGTTCAGAGTGGTTCCACTACAGAAGAAAAGAATGGAAAAAATACATTCTCTGATTGTTCCAAATCGAACAGTCTGTCAATCCGCAAAGGACATTATCAATGAACAAAATGAATCTCGAAATGTACAGAGGAGTTCCATTTTTCCACAAGGAGTTGACAAAAGCGCGAACCCACAAGGATGCTAGTCCTTGGTGGACTTGTTGATGAGAGATTTGTGAATGTGAGGGATCACGCCACCACCGGCTATTGTACCCTTGATCAGGGTGTCGAGTTCTTCATCACCCCTAATTGCAAGCTGCAAGTGCCTGGGTGTAATACGCTTCACCTTTAAATCTTTGCTTGCATTGCCTGCCAGCTCCAAGACTTCTGCGGTTAGATATTCCAAGATAGCGGCAGAGTACACAGCAGCTGTTGCACCAACTCTTCCATTCGCTTGAACCCTTGTCTTCAAGAGACGGTGAATTCGACCAACAGGGAACTGCAGGAATATGCATTCATGAATGAGCAACAGGAATACAATGGGTATACGTATACCAAGAAACCAAATAAAATCCACTGTTAACCGGAACACCTTAAGAACTATGAAACATAAATCATTAACAAGTGGGCAAACATCCATGATATACTCACGCCTTGAAGAATTTCATGAGCCTATACTTGAACCCAAATAATCATCTAATCATATTGTAGTCATTAATCATTAAATGAAAGAATGCAAACTGCCATCTGCCATTGGAGAACAAGGAGAAAGAACAGCGCTCTCAACGACTATTTATGCATCTCAACCAGGGTCTGAAGCTATCTATTACCACACTAATAACCTCAGCAAAATAAGATTGAAATCGTTCGCAAAAACAATTTATGGGACTCTTCCCTTAACATAACTATATAGGCAGACCTTTAAAGGCAGATTCCAAGCAAGTAGTCACAATTTATTAGGTTCTGTTCCATTAGGTATTATGCCAACAGCTCTGCCTGCTGTCATGCCTCACCAGCATATTACGACGTCAAAGCAAATTACAGGAAAGTAAGAAACAACACAATGGACCAATGTTCCAATTGTAGAGATCAACAATACGAGGACTTTTCTATTCGGTGAGAAATTTCACCTTATCAAGTTGGAAGAACCTATCTTGAACTCATTGTAGGACTACAAATTTCTGAAACAACTGCATTGCATGCCATGTTGCTTAACAGAAAACTAAACTAACTCCAAGAAAGAGTACTGTAAATTGTCCGTGAGACATCTCAACGCACAAAACGATCAAACGAAAAAACAAGCTTCAGACAGACAATCCATATTCCGAAGAAGACAGCATATATCTTAAATCGTTATACCAAAAGACTGCATAGCTCATTCCACGTAACAACGTGGATTATGAAGAACGGAGAACATTTGATGTTTATCTGCCTACACTTGACATTCGGTGTATTCTAAACGAAAGAAAGAACACTACTTTAACACCAAATAAACAAATCATGTTTGATCACAATTAACCATGTATCCCATCAAGCGCACTTAGCAGAGGTCTTTGAACTAGTGAGCTCTAAAATTAAGAAAATCTCATGACCCATATATAAAATCTCAATTAATTTAGATTTTCCGATCCAAAATTCAAATTCTAAGGACTGAAACAAAATGGCTATCAAACGCCCCTAAAGTAACAATGCAAAAACACAAAAAAAAAAAAAAAAAACGTCTTTACAGGCAAAACCCATGAATCAAAACGCAGAAAGATTTAAAATTCACCAAAAATAAAGAACCGTACCGCCTAAAATTGATAAAAGGAAATTTAGCCACGAAGAAAAAAACGAAAAAAAAATGAAAGAAATCGAAGTGAAAACGCACCTGAAGGCCAGCACGAGAGGAACGAGAGATGGGTTTCTTCTTGTCCTTGTCTTTATCCTTGTTGATTGCTGCGGGGCCTTTCCCCATTATCAAACCCTTTGCTCCTTTACCCGACATTTTCTCGGGAAAATTGAATCCAACTGAGAAAATCGCCAAAGTTTTGCTTTCGACTCGGCGAAACGCAACCGCAGAGAGAATTTGCAGAGGGGCGTCCAGAAAGGTCGGATCTTTCTTGGTTTGGAGAGAGAGAATATTTATCGTTAGGCGTTGCCGCTTAAATACCCGCCGATTTTTTTGTTAATTACGGAAAAAACCACTTTGCTTACTGGTTCTTTAGCTTGATTGTATTTGGATTTGGATTGGGTCTTTTGTCTTTTGGAAGTTATGTTACGTTGGTTAATTCGAGTTTCAAAATATCCACCAGTATCCCCACCCAACAAGAATCCTCTTTGGATTCTTTTGATGAGAATTATGAGAATCTATAAATTGTGTTTTTTTTATTGTACATCGTATGGTTAGTTTTTATAAAATATTTTTTATGTTTAATTTTAAATAAAAATATTTAAAATGATATTTAACTGCACAATGTACGATAAACAGATACAATTCACGAAATTCTGAATTCTCACAAAAGAATCCGACGAGGATCGGATTCTAACCCCAATGCGACCGATGTATATAAATTATGGATTGCATTTTTGTTGCCAGCCAAGTAATTAAATATCGTTAAGTTATTTTAAATTTTAAGATTTGTATATTAAATAAATAAATCAAACGATAATCAGTAGATTAGTGAGACACACTACCAAAGGATTTATAAAAAAAAAAAATGTAAATTAGGTGTTTAAGATGAATAGTTTACATTCCTTCATTGGAAGTTTTTCGGGCAACTAAAAATGTAAAATACACATATCAAATTTCAAGGCATTTTATCTTTCATTGGAGATGCTCTAAAATTGACTTAATCCATCTATAGTGCATAAGAGTTAAAAGTTAAGAATTTGAAAATCAAATTTGATTATGTTTGCGTTGAAAATGTTAAAACATACACCACCACATTCGGAGTCAAATATGATTTTATAACGGTTGACTTTTGCATGTTAGATTGGAGATAGCTTTTGACGATTATAGTGTAACCTCTCTTTTTCTTGTAATTTAGGTGCTACATGTCAACGTCATAATGTAATACCATTTCAAGTGAAGGTAAAGAATGCAAAATAAATTATTGATAGATAATTTCATGGCATCTAATAATAATTTTATTACTACAAATGACGTCCATGTTTTTTTTAAAGATACTGTAGAATTTCCCCTTCAGTTAAATCCTGCAATGAAAAAATTACACTTTGATCATTAATTACTGTCATGAATAAACACAAAACCAAACTAAATGACAAGAGAAAAGTGATATAAATGGCAAAATTGCTAAGGGATAGAAAATTGAAAAGTGATATATAAATGACAGCAGCTTTAAAATCACCTACTAATTTTCCTATGAGTAATACTAGAGATACCAATTATTTAGATCAAACTTTGTAAATCATATGACCTAATTGTTGATAATTAAATTAGTACTTAAATATTGATTATGCGATTTTTATTACACTAATAATGTTGGTTGTTACAACGACATCTTGTTACATTTGAATTATGTAATATATAATTAATTAACCTGAGAGTAGGCGCAAAGAAAATAATAGAAGGATCTAATGATAATAATCATTTTCTCCAATTTGTATATGACAAAATTATCCAAGTCTTCAGACTCTCTAGAAAGACACTATTAGAAGTAAAGTTCAACTCCACACTAACCACAAGATGTAAAGGGTACCCACACGCAAACCAACCAAACCAAATGACCTTCCATCCTCAAAGTTTCTAGAAAATCAAGGGATTCCGTCCAAATGGAAAATTTTGAATTGATCGTTAACTTTCACCAAGAAATTCAAACCCAATGTCCCACTTCTCTCTCTCTATCTCTCTCTCTCTTCCATGGCAGCGGATCACAATTATAATTCTCACTTTGTTAGTTTTGTGAATCGATATATCAATTTGACTGCAATTTGATCAGGGTTAAGAACTCCAGATTTGTTATAACTAACCCAATTTTATATTACTACAAGTAAGGTATTGCACCTACATTGACTTAGAACTTGGTGACTCGATCTATTAACCGTGACTATACAAACAGAAAGGCATAGGGAGAGTATGGAAATGAGAGGATAGACAATCCACCTCTCTGGACAAAACTAAGCTGCAAAAGATACTACATATCAGGCATGGATTACGACTGATCTTATATTCTTGTGCCTTCTACAACAATTAATTAGGTCCTCAACAGACCACCTACTCGTTTCCCTACTAATTAATCCCCTGTCTAATTACCATAATTACGTATTCAAAACAAGCTCACGGCCCCAAACGAAAGTCATAAAGTTAAATGTCAATGGTGGTACAAAGAAAAGGCAGAAAAGAATATAAGATCATGAGACGTGTTCACTACTTACTGTTGAAATTCGATGTTAACGAATGTAGCGGAAGAGTTGGCGATTGCAGCAAATGCAGTAGTAGAGAGAACTATGGTAGCATCACTTCTTGAAGGTCGGGACACCGAAGAGAGTGCACGATCCACAACCTTTACCTGAATCGTGTTCCCTGGAACGCAGGTTCCTCGCACGGGAGCACTTATGCACCTCACCTGATATTGTCTTCCACAAGCTGCACCGTTGTCCCAAATTCCCTCGCCAACGGACGCGAACAGATTGCCTGGAGGAAACTGTCCCTGGTCGCTTCCACCGCAGGCGGTAGCTGTATGCATGGAAGGTATTAATTAGTATCGATATGTTAACAGAGACAAAATTGTTATTTTAGACGCGGAAATTTGATAGACTATCTAACTTAGCATTGTATTAGGATCCACTGTATAAGAGAGTGAATAAGCTTTTGTATATGTATGTGTTAATAGCATTACTCTAATAGAATCGTCGAGGGTCTAAATTCTGAAAGTAATGAAATGCTAAAGAGAGTATCTCAAAAATTATGAGCAAATGAACTTATGAATATCCGAAAACCATTTTTTTAGCCAAATTTTGTGATGATATAAAAATTCCAGATTATGGCTGCATATGTTGTCGGGTAAACATTATTTGCCCGAAGGAATTTGAGTAGTCATCGGGCAAACGTTCGTGCGACGACCTTATTTTGCCCTACGAAATTCTTTCGTATAGTTTCTTTTGTAGCGTATAAGAGTAAAACTCATGCAGAACTTACGTAAATAAGGGGGCCTGTACTGAGCAGCAGTGCCAACATCAGCCTGAGAGGAATGCATGAGCGCTGCTGAGAAGAAGAAGAACAGAAGCAGGTATGGAAGAGAACTCTGAGGCTTAGACATTCCTGATCAATAAATTAAGGAAAACTAATGTGAGGGGACTAGTTAAATATAAGACATAATTATTATAAATTAACAATATTATATGTTCCGGTGAGAATAATGCTGCTTACGTAGGAGATATTGATCTCTTTCACCAAGATCATTGGATCAAGTGATTCGGGTTTTTGAAATTTTATCCAACGGCCCCCTGTTTTGGGCCCTTAAAAACTATAATAATTTTTTACCATTAGATGAAATTTCAAAGGTCCGTATCACTTGATCCGATAGTCTTAGTGGAAGAGATCCGGAAATGATATCTTTCCCTTAGATAGTTAATCGCAAATTATTGTTTTTATATTGTAATTTGAAAGGGACTCATTCAAAGTCAAAAGTTTTGAAAATTAGATTAATTTGTTTGTGTAGTTTTTTGTTAGCTCAGCGTAGGACACCAGAAAATAAAGGTTTGGAGTTCAGTTTGAACATGTATAACCTGGTTAAGCAAGTAAATACAACAGAAAGTGAAAACACAAACACTGGTAAAAACAAAAATGACAGAAAGCAAGAAATACTGATTGGTTAATGATTAAAATCGAATTAGTTTCAACTAATTAGTTTACTTGAGGAGGGCAGAGAAGGACCAGAGTTTAATGGTTTGGTTGGGATTAATTATAAATAAAAAAGTGCAGCAAGTAGGATTTTTAACTTTACTGTTGTTAACCTTCTGCGGAAGAGTCCAAGAGTTGAGACAAGAACCCAATCTCAGGCTCTCAATCACATAAAAATAATACTAGAAAATTAGAAATCTCAGCCATCCATCCCCTACTCACTACTTACTCAACATTGAGGGATTTGTAGAGAGGGAGAAAGACGTCATGGCAATGGTGAACTGGTGTACCGGTTTTATTGTAATCTCTCTCGTAAAGAGGATGCCTATATGTAAAAGATGGTGGTAGCATTACCTGGTAAGTATGCGATCAGCGAGAAGAATAGGGCACTGAAGAATGATCGAGTGCAGAACAAATTAACAAAACTCGTCGACTAATAAAATTAGAAGATGGAGGACGGAAATACATATGTATCATAGTGATATGATCATATATACTTGTTGCCGACAAGCAAAGGCAATTCATTTGAATTCCACATGAAACGTTAAACGTTTCCCTTGCAAGGGAGTTAAACAATGCCAGTTAAGTTTCCTCATTAAAACGTAACTTACTCATTAATTCCTTTCTAATTTGTACGCGTCTAAATCCAAATCCAGTTCTCCATATTTTATGTCCCTCACTTATTAATAATAACGCTTGTATTGTAAAAATATATATAGAGATATTTTCTCCCGATATAACAAATGGACTTAATTTTTTATAGAGATAATTTCTACGCAAGCAATTGCTGATGTCCTGAGCACCGCTATGGATGGTTCGCTGCTGGGATTAATTGCCTATGACATCAAGAGTCTATCTACAACTGTGACATACGTAAGGTTTAGTTATATGCCACGTCTTTGTGATGGTGTTGACAGTATTTAGCAAAGTTTGCCTTTTTAATTAGATAGTAACGATTAGTTTGGTTTGAAAATCCTCCTGATATCATGTTCTCGTACAAAACTCATTTACCTAAGCGAGTTCATCTTAATAAAGCTATCATTTCTATTCCAAAATTTTTTACTCTTCGTGTCAATTCAACCAGACACCATACTAGCTTTTACTTATTTGCACAAGGAGAAGAGCCAATTAAAGATTTAGTTAGATTAAATTGTATAAGTAAAATTGAACACTCCTAATCACGATTCTATAAGATGCCAATCACATACAATCCTTCTCACTCATTTAAATGAAGAAATGTCTCCTAACTCTAAACTTCTTCCTTCTAATTCACAATACAAACGAACAAAAAACTAACAAGAACGGTTTATTTCCAACATACTTACCTCTAACGATGGAACATCATTGATATAATTGTGTCCCAATTTCACAATCAAATTTAACAAAAGAACACATAAATATAGGGTTGGAAATTTTTCCCAAAAATCCCAAACCAAACCAAAAAAATCCTGATCCCATACCGAAAATTCTCAAACCAATAATACTGAAATTTTTGGATCCATACCGAACTGATCCCGAACCGAACCAATGTGTATATTTATTTTGGTTGCATACATGTTGAATGTTGAATTTAAGCAATTTGAAAGTAAATTGTATTAAAAATAGAAGTATGAAATTAAGTCGTTTGGAAATTTCAAATTGATAATAGGTAAAAAGCCTAAATTTCAATTGATAACAAAATTTTAAGCCAAAGGCCCAAATTTTCTCCCACAACCCAAGACTCTCAAATTTATGCCCAAAAGCCGAAAAGCCCAAAACCCAAAACGCAATCCCGATCCATCTCGAAATACCCAAAACATTTCTGGAATTCTGAAAATTGGGAATAATGAAATTTCGGTTTGGGATTGGTGGATTGGTCTTTAAATTCTTATCCTGAAAATTTTTGGTTTGAGATTTGGGATCCATTTTCGATTTGGATCCCATATCGATCCAACCCTACATAAATATTCCCAACTCCTAGTTAGTTGACAAAACACTAAAAAATTGTGTTTAGATTAACAAAACCAACGTCCACATCAGCAATAACAATAAAAGAGGACAACATTAGTGTTTTTCAAAGGAAATACAAATTCTTATGTAGTATAACATAAATTAGCAGTAAAGATGGTGACGGTCAAATTTGACAACAACTTCAACTCTATTTTTAATGAATTAATAAACACTTTTTATCATTTTATTAAGTTTTTTGTTCTAAAAATATTTATTATAATTATGAAAAGAATAATAATAATTGACATATAAGAACAATACTTTAACAATACCAACGTACTGGCTTTTAAATTTAAACTTTATATTTAAAATTTGATATTTCCTTTAGAGTTGCTTTAAGTTGTCATGAAATCTTCAGAGTAATGGGATTATAAGTTGCTGGAGGGGCAATTAATTATTAATAATTAAAAACCTTACTAATTTTTTAGGATTTGTGGTGTATATTTGCCACGACTATACTATTGCCTATAACGTATAAGTTTAAAATTAATTTTTTTTATTTTGAATTTTTCTTTTTAAAAACGAACACATAAATCTTAAAATTTAAATTTACATGTAATAATAAAAATTTATTCCTTATATTTTGGACTTTTCCACCACGTGGTACAAATATTCCATATGTTTTGGACTTTTCCAGAAGATACTCTCCAAACATATGCTTCTTGTGTCTCCTCCGAATCCTCTGTTCACTTCTTGTTGATTTTTACTTCCACTCCACTAGCTTCTTCTTCTTCTTCCGTCCCCGCCCTGTTCTTCAACAACTTTTCTCGCGTCTCATGTCTCGCATTCCGACAATTTTTACCCTTCAAAATCCCTTCTTTATACAAACTCAGCCCTTAGATGCTTTGAATTTGGGTAGCTGGGTTTGAGTTTTTCTGCAAGTGAGCTCTCGGATTCAGCTCGTTTCTTGAAATTCATTGAATTTGGGTAACTGGATTTGCGTTTTTTCAGATGGGTGCGGCTTCTGTTGGGTACCCTTTTGGAATCACATCCCATTGCCATGGAAAGTTTGGGGCTTTTCCTCGCAAAGCGGGTTTCTTTGGCTCTAATTTCCCACTGCATGTGGAATTTCCAGGACATAAATTGTACCCAAGTTCCGTTTTTGCCCCTGCATCCAAGGTAATCTCAGTCGCCTCCCTTCTTATCTAGTTTACATGCTGCAGAAACTGAGGATAAAAAAGGAAGAAAAAAGGTTAGAAATTGGAGACTGTATTTGTGGTTGCAGAATAAGCAAATCTATGATTTGTTTGAATTGTTAAATTTTGTGTAAATTTGTAAGGTGCTTGTAAATTTATTCATTTTGTTAATTAGAGATTTTTCTTGACTTGAGTGAGTGGAAATTTTTTTTTTTTTATTATCATTATTTTTAATTTGTCACTAATTTTTTTAAATATTTTTTTTGAAAATAGAAAATTGGTTTATTGGTGAATGAGAACTTGTTTTTAAATTAATACTAAGTAGTTTGAAATGGTTTGGAGTTAAAATGGCAATTCTAAAGTATTGATTGCCCGAAAACCTGAATCTTATTATCACAATTATTATCAAGTGTTTTGATCTCAGCCACCTCACAGTTTATCGTCAATTCTTGTGCTAACATTATAAAATATTGTGCCAAAAACATGAGGTGACAGACAGTCTATGGAGAGTCCCATTAGCATTTCTCTTGCTTTTTAGGTTAATTTAAAGTTTAGATCATGAGGCATATGATTTCGTATTTTCACACTAAGTACATACACAGCTTGATCTGAATTGATGAATCTATTAAAAAGATGGAATTTTATTTTGTCCGCAGTTACATAGGCAGCAGTGTGTGTTGTTTTCTCGGTGCAGGAATTTGCAAGTCGGATATGTTCTCTACCTGACGATGATGAGTGGTTCTTGGAAGAAGTCTTAACTCCAATTCTTGATTCAGTTGAAAATCCTATCCACCTGAAGAACTTGTCTGTTGAAGTTAGTTCCGAGGCATTTAAATACTTATCTTTGTGTGCTTACACTTCAGTTCCCAACTTCTTTACTCATCGCAGAACGATCAGTGCAGGAACTGAAACAGTTATCTGATGAAATCCGTTCAGAGTTATCATCTATAATGTTGAGAACACGAAAGTCTTTCAGAGCCAGTTTGGCAGTGGTGGAGTTGACGATTGCAATACACCGTGTTTTTCATGCTCCCGTGGACAAGATAATTTGGGATGTCGTGGAACAAGTAAGATCACAAATACATACCTTTCTCTTTGTAGTAATGGCTAATTCTAAGAGTGGCGGTTGAGGTTATGGATAACTTTTGATACTGTTTACATTAGGCTGTACATAGTTAATACCAGAAAGAACACATATAAATAGAACGCAAAGAAATCATTCATGGGTAGTTTCGCTGCACATTTATACATTGTCATTGTATGATATAAATTTTGAAAGTTTTCTCTTATTCTGGCAGACATATGCACATAAAATACTTACAGGAAGGCGGGGCCTCGTACATACAGCTCGACGAAATAATGGTTTTTCTAGTCTCTCATCTCGACCTGAGAGTGAATATGATCCATTCGGGCCAGGGCATGGGTGCAGTAGCGTTTCTGCTGGACTGGGTAATGTCTACTTCCAGTATGCTTCTTTTTTATTTCTCCTGTGATGAAATCACATTCTTCGGAAAAAGTTCATGTTTTTATTCAACATGACTTGCAACACCCTTCTCTGGATATTTGTAACCGTATATGCTGCCTTAGAGCTGATGGCATTTATGCAGCTAGTAATAGTAATATGGTCTTTCCTACTGAGCGTTATTTATTATGATGTAAGAGCAATTGTTTCAAGTTTGGCCAGCTAAATTGGATTTAAAACAGTATTATTTTCAACTGGACTGCTATTATAATATTTACAGGCATGGCAGTTGCACGGGATATTAAGGGAAAGCGGGAACGTATTGTTTCAGTAATCAGCAATGGGACAACGATGGCCGGTCAGGTCTATGAGGCAATGGGTAATGCAGGTTATTTGGACTCAAATATGGTAGTTATTTTAAATGACAGCCGGCACTCTTTACACCCAAAGACTGAGGAGGGCCCAAAGACAGCTATTAGTGCTCTGTCGAGTACCCTAAGCAAGCTCCAGTCAAGTAAATCCTTTCGGAGGTTTAGAGAAGTTGCTAAGGTATTTCCGTGGTTTTTATTATCCTACCTCTAGGACTGGAAGATTTCGAGACATTAAAATTTGTTCAAGTATTTTCTTAGAACTTAGATATATTGGATTTGTTAATGAGAGATATCTGTATGGAAGAATTTATGCAACTTTCGGCAATACTTTAGACAATCTGAGTATAGAAAATTTATTCGGTTTTGTGTGGCATTCATCTGAGAGGACATAGTGGGCTCTGGGTATTTGGAGAATATCAAACATTTTCTGTTGCTATTGAGTATTATAAAGATTTTTGTGCCTTGTGCCTTTTGTTCTATGAAGTATTTATTTTTCTTCCCCCTTTTTTTCAGGGTGTTACTAAAAGAATTGGAGGAGGCATGCATGAATTGGCAGCTAAAGTTGATGAGTATGCACGTGGTATGGTCGGTCCACTAGGATCAACTCTTTTCGAAGAGCTCGGATTGTATTACATTGGCCCTGTTGACGGACACAATATTGAAGACTTGATTTGCGTTCTACAAGAAGTGGCATCTCTGAATTCAATGGGTCCTGTTTTGGTTCATGTGCTAACGGAAGAAAATCGGGAAGGTGAAAACAACCCAAAGAGTGGGGTACAAGGTATGTTACCCTCTCATCTCCTCCTCTGATGTTCATTTCATATTCTGTGCAAAATTCTGCTGTAAATTTAAGGATTCATGAGTTGACTTGCAAGTGGGCAAACTCAGCCCAATATACTTTGGTTTTATATATGTCGTCTGAGGCTTGGCCTTCGTTCAGGCCTTTAGTGAGTATAAGAAGTTGCCGACTACAAAGATCATTTCTCATTTGGCAGAGGATGAAAAGCCATGTGTAATTTGGTCTGACATTTATGTTATTTTACACTTCCCAAACCTGCAGGTTTGAGTAATTCTGATGATTTACCGTCCAAAATTCGCCATAGAACTTATAGCGACTGCTTTGTGGAGGCTTTAGTGATGGAGGCAGAGGAGGACAAAGATATTGTGACTGTTCATGCAGGAATGCATATGGAAACAGCATTCCAACTGTTTCGTGAAAGATTTCCTGACAAATTTTTTGATGTGGGAATGGCTGAGCAACATGCGGTTACTTTTTCTGCTGGTTTGGCATGTGGAGGACTAAAGCCATTTTGCATTATCCCGTCTGCATTTCTACAAAGAGCTTATGATCAGGTAGTAATTATATTTTAATTAATTGTGGAATAAATAATTTAATGATATAATAACAATATGATGATAATGTCTCTGAAGTTTATCTTCTCGTGGCCTGTTTAGGTAATTCATGACGTAGATCGGCAAAGAATTCCAGTGCGTTTTGTCATTACAAGTGCAGGGTTGGTAGGATCTGATGGTCCCATGCAGTGTGGAGCATTTGATATAACATTTATGTCATGCTTACCAAACATGATCGTCATGGCACCATCTGATGAGAATGAGCTTGCCAACATGGTGGCCACTGCAGCCTACATCGATGATCATCCAGTTTGCTTCCGATATCCAAGGGGCGCCATTGTTGGGATGGACCATTCCGTATGCAGTGGAACCCCCATTGAGGTAATTCTGCTTCATTGCTTAAAAATAAGTAATTATATAAACTTGGTACATTTAATAGAGAGGGATTTAACTTCTTATGCGTTTAATTTTGACTTCTTTGCGCCACTGCGTTTAATTTGACTTCTTTGTGCTGCTGAGCAGATTGGAAAAGGGAAAATTCTTGCGGAGGGGAAAGATGTGGCATTGCTGGGATACGGATCAATGGTTCAGAACTGCCTCAAGGCTCGGTCTCTTCTTTCAATGCTGGGCGTTGATGTAACAGTTGCTGATGCAAGGTTCTGCAAGCCCTTAGATGCCAAGCTTCTTAGGCAGCTTTGTCGGAACCATTCATATCTGATCACGGTTGAGGAAGGATCTATTGGAGGATTTGGATCCCATGTTGCACAGTTCATTTGTCTCGACGGACAGCTTGATGGAAACATCAAGGTAATCTTTTTTTTTTTTTTTTTTTTTTTTTTTGTGTTCTTTCAGTTCAATGTTGATTGTCAATGGCACATTATATGTTCACACATTGTTACTCATTTTGCTTCTCTGCCTGAAATCGACATTCCAGTGGCGACCAATTGTTTTACCGGACAACTACATTGAGCATGCATCCCCAAATGAGCAGCTAGCTATTGCTGGACTAACCGGACACCACATAGCAGCAACGGCGTTAACTCTGCTTGGCCGAACTCGTGAAGCCCTTCACTTAATGTGCTAGGCATCTGCTATTCTCTGCCCTTTCACCGAGGCTACATTTCTGAGCGGAAAAATGAATACAGATCAAAGCTCAAGTAGCATTAATTCGACCGAAAGGCACCGAAAATATAACCTTATCAATTTGGATAGAGGGTGCTTGCATGCAAGTATATGATCATTAATTTACAGCAGCACAAAGGAAATTTTAAAAGTTAAAAGTTCTTCCGCCCTGCTAAATATTTTGACCAGAAATTTAAATTATTTAATACCATGTTATATATAGTGCAGTAAATTAAAGATTTGAATTTACTTTTTAACATATCTGAGGGAATATGATGGTGAAACGTTTTGGGTGTTACCGTAACATGTGGTGTTATCAGTCTATTCTTCATCCAATTTTATTCTTCATCCAATTTTATTTTATAACATGTTGATTAGGGTACCGAAGATATTCCACTTAAACTCGATAACAACCAATCCCTCTTGTAACATGTGGGCACAATGAGGATGTTTCACTTAAACTCGTTGATAAACAAGCTTATAACACGTGGATTAGTGTACATTGAGGATGTTCCACTTGATCTCTATCGGTAAAAGCCATTTCTAGTAACAATATCACAGAATACAGGTCAAAGAAACTTAAGAAAGTGTGATCAAATTGTCCCAAAAAGAGCTATTTTAGTCGCTTTCTTTTTTTTTTTTACAAAGGAGGAATCGAAATGAGCGATTCACAAGCATTTTAAGAGTTCCATGAATGTGGTAACGTCTGCCTGCCGTTATGTATTGGTAAAGAAGGTAGACCCAACACGTGTCATGCTTTTGTTTTTATGAAAATATGACGTTAGTTCTGAAATTCAATTTTTTATATTTACAATCCAACATAATTGATTTTGGCTTAAATGTCAAAATAGTCCTGTGTTTTAGTAATTAGGTCATCATGTTTACCTCCGTTAGCCAAATAAGGACATTCCATCCAATTTCTATTAAAAATTTCATAATTCATTATAGACTTATTCAAAAACTATCTATTTGATTTAAAAATAAATAAAAAATAAAATTAAAAGAAAAATTAGTCTCTTCCCAACTCCCTGACCTCCGCCTTAACGTTCTCTCCTCTCCCTATTTTCTTGCCTCACTCTCTCTATGTTCTATGTCACAACCTTAATAATTTTTCAAATTAGAAGTTTATCTCTTATATATGTCATTCTTCATTGATTTGTTTTTTCTATAAATTTAAATTTAAATAAAGAGAAAGGGTAATATATGACTATATCAATTGCGGTCTGTTTCTCGATTACATAGTCGAAAGTGAGGTGGTCGATCGGGGTTAATTTTCTTGAGACTACGATGATGGAAGTCATGCGTACCAAGGGGGGTCGAGGTGGATTTATTGACACTTTGTCGAGTTGCCTGCGTGTGTGGCTAAGGTAGGGGTTCGGGTCAGGACAAGGCATATGGCATGGTGGGTTTGTTTGAATTTCATTTTGAAATTATATTTCTTTCTATTTTAATTGAAAAATAGTTTTCTATAATAGGTTATAATATTTTTATGAATTTTTTAATAGAGATTGAATAAAATGTTCTTAATTGGTTAAGGGAGAAAAACATGAGGACAAAATTGGCCAAATAACTATAACACATGGGTCATTTTGACATTTAAGCCTTTAATTTTCTGACTACAATCCAGTGATTAGGCTTCACCTAGGAAAATTTCTTAATTAAGTTTGACTTTACACAATTTGTATTTTTTAGATGCCTAAAATACTCATAATTACTTATTTGTTATCTACAATTAATTATATGGAAATTATGTGAATTAATGTCATGAAATATTTTTCAAACCATGCAAATTGAAACATGAAATTAACGATTCTGGAAGAAAAATATATATAAAAAAAAAATGAAAAAGGGGTATTAATGCTATTGTTTCTTCACATAAAATTTTGGGTTGTTTTATTAGCACCTCACACACCTCACATACTTAAAACACCCCACATGTACTTTTTAAACTAAAAATTATCTTAATACACTCCACTGACCAACCGAAACTACCATCACACCCACACAACCCAGACCAAAAGCTACCTCAAGTCTTCATCATTTCCTAAAAATAAATTTAAATCCTTTGTCTTCAGCACACAAACAGTGCGCATGGTTCTATTGCTTCAAGGTTTTTGTCAATTTAGGGGAATTAAGCTCTAAATATGAATTTGATTTTAAACTTAGAAATAGCTACTTTGCTGGTTTTTGTTAAATAAGAAATCATGAATGGGCTAGTTGATTTTGCTATTGTTGTGTCCATGCAGATTCTCAGTTCTGCAATCATGCTTAAATGAAATTGCACCACAAACCATCCTAAGAAATAAACAGCAAACATGCTTGAACATTTTTAGCAAAAGAAAAAAAAAACCACTACTACACTATCTCAAAGAAGATTTGAATATTTTAGAGTACTCCATCTCTTATGTTGCAGAATCCTTAACATTTTTGATATAAAAAAAAAAAAAAAAAAAAAAAAAATCACGACAATATTGTGAGTGTGGGCGTATACAAAATTATATATAATTTATGGGTGGTTAGGATCTTTTTTAAATGATTTGGGGTGTAGGAAGTAAATAATTGTTTTGCTTTACTTTTTAGGATTTAAATAGTTATTTTATACAAGTCATTTAACAATAAATATTAAATGAGGTGCATTCAACCATTAGTGAGGTGCTAATAAAAAAATCTTAAAATTTAAGCTAGTATTAGTAAGACTAATTTACCTACCCATACATATTACTCTTAGCCTTCCACATCTATACCATTGCATTGATGTTTTTCCATAGAATATTGTAATACCTTTGTATGGAAAAGGTATCCAAGCGAGAATTCAAAATACAAGTAAATTTTATACTTTAGTGCACCTACTTAGAATACTGTAAAACAATTTTCACACTTACATATATAATAAGGAGTAGGTAAATTATTTTAGTTTACCTACTTACAAGTATAATAAGGACTAAGTAAATTCCTTTAGTAGGTAAATTAATTTATATGAAAAACGATTCCGTTAAACAATATTGAATGAAGAAGAATATTATTAGATTGTAGTACTAAGTGGTTGTTGTATGAATTTTTTGAAACCATTAATTTGTCTCACCTCAACTATGTTAAGTTTTCTATCTAAAAGAATGCTATTTTAGACCTTTGACCTCATTTTTCACAAGTTTTTTCATTTCTTTATTTATTATTTTAGTACAAAGATATATGTACACTTGGGGTGGGCGATAAGTTGGTTTTCAACTTTTGACTTCCTTTTTATAAGTTCTATACTGATCTTTTGGTACAAAAAAACATGTCATGTGCGTTTCATAAACTTATGGTGAACTACTAAAAAATTACATTAAGATCACTAACACGGAGCAAGTGATCCTTTACCACACTGGTGGAAATGTGTTGAGCTCTTGGATGATGATAGAGTTCAAACCTCGTCGATGACTAATCTAACAAAATCTATCGTTTGACAAAAAAAAAAAAAAAAAAATGAATCACTAACATGAAGTTTAACTAATTACAAGCTTTGAGAATTCAATGTAGTCAATCATATTCATTAAAAAAAGGGGAGCTGAAATGTCCAAAATAAACCATGAAAATAAGTTAGGTGTTTTGCAAATGGCAGTATGTTGGGAAAATTAGAAAACAAATACCGAAAAAACTTTAGCATCATTAGTTTGTTTTTAATGCCTTGATTGGAGCCAATTCATGTGTGGGTAAGAAACAGTTTAGAAGGAATATGGCATAAGTTGTAAACCGCCACGTAAGAATTAATTTTTTAGGTTTACCAATAAAAATAAATCTTACATGGTGGTTTATTTGAATTTTGGATTTTTGTTGGATGTTCATACACAAGTGAGTTGTAAGAGCCTATTTGTAATGAACTTTATGTTTCTAACTTTTTAATCCTTAACAGTAGGTTGGTTATACCTACAACTGAAATGAAAATCAAGCGTTTCGAAGTTCAAAATTGTTGAATCTCGTCTAAGTCATCATTTGTCCAAACTATATCGTGTTTTTTTTTTTTTTTTTTTTTTTTTTTTTTAACAATTAATCGGTAGGAAACAAGCCAATGAAAAACACGATCACTCGCTCTCTCTGTCCTTTTCTTGCGAATCTGGCTTGGACATCGTTCGCAAATCTCCTTCCCTCTCTCACCTCAGTCTCCATTGTGCAGTCAGTGTCTCAACCCCAAATATTAGTTAGGATTAGTCACGCTTGATTATGTAGTCAGTAGACTTAGTACTATCTAATGCATATTAGTCCATTCGATTGAAATAGCCAGTACAATTTCAACGTACCAAATGAAGTCTAAGTGGCATATCATAGCATATGTTTATTTATCAATTTGTATAAGGGGTGGGGGAATATAAAGTCTTTTTTGGTATCATTGTACCATAGCCTAGTCCATTGGTTGCAGTTGCATCCTTTGATATAAACCACCCCTTCCCACTTAAATTAAATTACCCAAAATGCTGTTGAACATCTAACACTAATCAAGTATATTCTTCAACAATTAGGTTAAGTGAGTGACACATCCACCACTGATTACTAAATTAAGCAATACACCTGAAAAATCTAGGACCACAAGATTCCGAAACCAATTACTATTAGGAATAGGATTATAATATAGTAGTTCCACTTTGTATAAGTTAGGGAGCGTTATTGTGTTTGATTATGAATTTGAATCACACATTTTAATCAAGGTTTTAAAAAACGTTAGGTGCTAGTCAGATGGCTAGGCGGATTTATATAAATGTATTATATATCTTGTAAATAAGTGTCTATTTACACTTAATAAAAACTATACTTGTATGGATAATAAAAGAATGACAAAATGCAAAAATAGAAGTAGAAGAATACACAAAGTATATCCATCCAACAAGTTCAATATTTAAAAAACAATAAACATATAATCATAATGAGGAGTATTCTTGGATGACAGACTAAATTTTTCTTTTTCATGATCCTTGCATTGGATTTGACATAGACTAAACTATTTAACGTTGTTGTATCTAGTTTGTTTGTTTATTTGTTTGTTTTTTTTTTTTCGTTTTGTATTTATCCCCTCAAAAGTTCTCCAATTCATTTCACAATTGGATGAACTTGTAGTCAATCCATCCTTTGCAAATTAGGTACACCATTTCCATAAGTACACCACCATGAAACTTAAAAAAAAAAAAAACAAATCTGCCTAGGACCGCCTAGCTTCAGATCGATTTTTTGAAATGATTTGCTCTAAATCGTGGCTGGTCTTCACCGCCTAGTGTCACATCTCGGCCC